AGAACCAGGTAACTGATTTGCAACCAGTTCCAACTAATTCAATTTTCATTTTGAATCTGATTTGGAAGGGTGGTAACTGGACAAATTCTAACCTAAAAAAGGACGTCCCGGGGTTAAACCACTGGTGGAGTCTCTTTCATGTTCTCAGCCTCTCTTAGCAGATTCTCAAGAAACACGTTCATAGGAAGTGAAAGAGGGCGATAAGAACGTTAGATCCTTGCCAATGCTCCCGACCAGGGTCAACCCTACGTTGTTACTAGTAACAACGGGGGGTCGTACCTGGTTGAGTTTGTAGGAGGGGGGGGGTCGTACCTGGTTGAGTTTATAGGAGGGGGTCGTATCCGCTTCAGTCGCGTGAAATTACATGTGAGTTTGTGGTGAAAGTGGAGTTTTCACGAGTAGTAGGCTGGGTGAGTTGGGAGCGCTATGTGTCGCCGTCATGCCACGGCCGACCTCAGCAGTCTTTGATTTTAGTTTCACATTCAGTTCACTACGCACCCAAATTTATCCTTGTGCTTTCAATCATTGCTCGGCATTATTGTGTCATTAAAGGAATCCTTCGCGGAAAATTCTTGCATTCTTTCTTAACATGAATGTGTCAGTTGTGATCACTGGAAATAGCACACAAAGTTTCACGCATGAAGATTCGGTTTCCGAAGAGAAACAAACGTACAAAAACTACACTTATGGACAATCGAAGGTAATTCGGGCGGAGCCAAAGGCGAGGCATGGAAAGAAGTTTGGCCGGCTACGTATCAGGCGACGCAATGAAAGAATCGGGTTAAAGCGCGCGATTTCGGAGAGTAGAGACAAATCGATCGATAGAATAGGATGGAGTAGAAGTGTAAGATGTGAATGCAATAAAGCAGAAGGCCAGAAAGAGTTTCTAGTGAAGGCACTCCAAGAACCAAGTGGAAGCATCCCCGTCGCCAGCATTTGTGAAAGACGTCCGTGGGCACTTTGAACGCGTAGCAGCCCTTTCGATTTTTCGAATTTTTTTTACCAAAACGAAAGCAATATTTCTGTTCTTTTCATTCTTATCGTGGATAATGAGTCTCAAGCCAGTGATTTATGGCTGAAATAGAATCATGATTTTTCCGTGAAGGATTCCTTTAAAGAATAAAATCGCTCATATATGTCTTGTTAATTGTTGATTCATGCTTTTGAGTTCCATATGGAGTCGTAGTATCTTTTGAGTGTGTTTTTGCCTACTTAATGAAACGATGAGCCAGCCAATATACCGAGCATTGCCCACCCTCGCAGTGGAGAGTTCGACTAATCTCGGTGTGGTGATAGATGGAGGACTGGGCGGAATTCATCCATGGACTATGCGCTTGCGACGGTCTCTGCTACTGCCGTGTGTGCCACCGATCTGACTTTCCCGTTTTTATTTTATTTCGAAAGTAACATAACATTTTTCGATATTTCAGGGTCATCGTTCTCCTCCTTCACTGACGAAGGACTCACGATGCATCGTAAGCTAACGGATGAGCATTCTTTGTACACTATTCGTGAACGGGCCGAATCTGGATCATCCAAATAGCTGCACCTCTATTTTCACTTCTGTGAGCTCCAAGAAGAATATTCATTACACAGGTCTAA